CGGTCTTGTGCCCTGGGGGTACGGCGGGAGCAGGGCTGCCGGTCCCTCGCGGCCGAGACGCCTTTTGCTGGGCTGCTGCCGGCAGTCACCTGTCGGGGAGAGGGACTGGGGCGGCTAGAGGGGGAAATTGGCGACGGCTCCGAGCGGGGAAGTTTGGGCAGAGCCTTTCGCCCCACCTGCGGGTGGCGAGGGGAGGCGTTGCAAAACGCGGCCTAGCGCCTGCCGCGGTACAACACGGGCTGTTTCAATAGGAGAAGCGCCGCCTTCTCCAGCGGGTCACCGTGCCCCTCGTTCCGCGGGGGGACCTTTCCCAAAGCTGTCCAGAGACAACCCGGAGAGCAGCTGGCGGCCGGTTCGTGTGGGACGGCGGCGCTGGCTGGGCAGGGCCCTGGGAGGTACCCATGCTATCAGATAGTTGGAAACACCAGGACTTTTTTATTTGGAAAACCTGTATTTGATGACCGTGTTAGAAGTGGCGAACTTGACGTTGCAAAATGTGAAAGAGACAGCAATAGGGTTTTGGAGGAAAGACACAAAGGCAGACTTTCTGGCCAGCCTTTGAGCTACTGTGGCCAAGGGGAAGGAAGGGCAGGTTTCATGCCTGTCGCATCAGGGCTTGGTTAGTGTGGTGGCTCAGAGCAAACACTGCCCAAAACCACAAACTGCTCCCCTTCAGTGCAGTCTGGGGGAGAATATGTAGTAATACAGCTAGAAAAACATGAACATGACCTTTTTGAAAGCACACTCGTTTAGTAATAATTAAAGTAGTAGAGAATATGTACTTGAAGTGTGAAAATTTCTACCTAATTTTATGCAGATGATCAGTGTGGATCAGTTGATCCACTGCCCTTTACACATGTGAGTGATTCAGTTTCAGGTAACATCATCATATGTGCAAGATGGGGTTGTAAAAGAGGGCAAAATGAAAGTATGTCTGTTAAACATTAAAAGCCCAGTCTTGGTTTGCTGAAAAGAAAAATCAGACCGAAATTAACTCACTTGCTAAACACCCTCCTGGTTTTGTTGGTTTGGGTTTTTTTAAATTAGAAAATTTGTATTAATTATATATTTAAATTCTAGATGCTTCACAGATTAGCTGAATTGGAATTTTTTTCAATTTTTAATGAAAGCTCTGGTTTAAGACATGTGGAATCCCTCAGAACACAGTAATATGTTCAGGACAAAGTTAACTATAGAGAAGAACAGGAAGTGGAAAGAAACCCAAGAGACTTCCAGATCAACAGGCAGAGCATTGTAAATATTCTGTTGGTTTTTTTCTTTTCAGCCACAGCATTTAATATTATTTGTAATTAGCTGAAGAAATAGGTGGAAGTTCTTTACGGAAGTTAATTAAGTCAAACAAAAGAGGGAGCTCTTCCTACACCTGTCCAGCATTTCCCTATGATTACAAAGACCCTGATTCAGCAAAATAATGCCTGTGTAGGAATAAACTTACATGCTTTCCCAAGTAGCAAGCCTTGTTGGGAGGGAACACAGTTAAGAGCAGCCATTCATACCCTTACTTTAGTTGTTGGTGATTGACAATGTCTTTATATGACAACTTCATGCAGATGTGGGTTTTTTACAAGACTGGAAGATGAAGAAAAGTCAATGAAAAATGTTGTCTGAAGCCGACCATGGTGAATTACAGAAAAAAATGCCACTGCAACAACTGTGTTGTGTGAACATATGTCATTTATTCTACAGGATAATTAATCAAGAGGAATAAAGTAAAACAGGTACTCAAAATATTTGTAAATTAGAATACAGTGAACTAAGTTCTAAAACTATTGAGCAGTTTGATAGAAGTGACCGAGATGGTCCTGAAGGTATTTGACCGTTTTGTGTCAAGGGTACCAATCCACAAACCAAATTCTAGTACTTTAAGAAAATGTTGTGCATACTTTCTGTGCATAACTGTTGCCGAGTGTGAGACTGTTACGTACAGACTGATGTTTTCTTGTTGCAGGCACCAGTCCTGCTGTCTGAAAATGGGTAGCTCACGCAGTGGTCCTTTGGGCTGTGCTTCCTGATTATGGTGTGGGCAGAACTTCCTCACAAGGATTGGTGAAAGCAGAAGGGTTGGTACGAGGTGTATTAACTAGGTAAAAATTGCCTGTGTTTGTAGCTGAAATAACTACCACCAGAGTTATTATTTGGGTAAGCTTCAAGAATCAACTGCCAAGCAAGGCAGCATCCTGAGGGTTTCTAGTGAGCGAGACCTTGAGGTGACGGAAGGTCTTTAAAGTGCTCTGCTTGCTGCTCTTTCTGTGAAGTTAATGTATTGCCAGCACAGTCATTTTCCAACCACTGCTTTCGGTATGGTTTTTCATTTTAAATAAATAAACAACTGCAATTGAAACACAATGTGAAATGCGGGAAAAACCTCGAAGTAACAAGAAAAAGGTATTTTAATTTCCCTGCTTTTATTAGAGACTTTTGCTGCAGACTCATGTGACTGTAAAATTCTCTTCCTACAGGCTTCTGCAAAATTGTATTCAGAGAGCGTTAAGAATTTTCAGAATGTATTCTCTAAAGATTTGTGCTAATTGTTGCTGAGTTACATGGCTGCTTATTGTAAAAAAAGGACTAGAGTTCATTTTTGCATGGGTGATAAGAAGGAAGTATTTAATTTTCTGAGCCTCAGATATTATGCCGTGAAATGAGACTCCTTGTCACGTGATGACTAATCCAATTGTAATAGCTGGCCACTTTTGTATACACGCCAGGGTGACCAGCCTCCCCGCAGTTCTCGCCCCAACTCACGATACCCCAGACATACGCCACATTTTCTGCATCAAAACAGACCAAGGGTCCTCCTGAATCACCTTTGCAACTGTCTATGGAGCCATCATAAGTACCTGAAGCAAAAGAGGAAATAAAAAGCAAATATAAGTTCATATACAAGCTAGCACACAAAATGGAGCTCAGGAGCTTGCTCCCTGACAGCTGTTTGCCTAATGGTCACCAGTAAAGGAGGTTCCTAAACCTCCTCGGTCTATTCTCATTTCTTTTTAAGTGCAGGGCCTCTCTTCACATTTGTGGTTGGCCCAAATTCTCCTCGTTTGCTTTGACGTCAGTGATGTGACTTGTTTTCCCCTGTGCAGTAGAGAAGAATTCAGCCGTATTGCCTATTATATCATTAGAAGCAGCTCATAAAAAGTGAACAAAAGCGGAAGGAAAAAGGTAAAAAGATTTGTAGGCTGATTCCTGTGGAAATGACACTATCGTAGTACGTGTAGGCCTACGTGTCTGCCTTTGCTGTCCTCTCTACCCAACAATTCACTGGCCAGTTTCATCTGGACAGAGCTATGCAGAGAAGCAGAGGCCTCAAAATTATTTTCTCTACCAGCTTTATGAAAACAGGTGGGCAGGAACAAGAAGGAGAGTGTGAGAATGCTGGGATGGGGGGAAGAGCAGCTGTTGGTAAGTGCCCTCACTGCAAAGTCGGGTCACAGCGTGGACCTTTTGCAACACCAGGTACGGCCCTGAGGCACAAGGGTGTAGGATCAGTGCTCTTCATCAGTTTCAGTGCTCACGGAACTACTCCTTTGCAATTCGGCAAACATAGTGCTCGTGAAAAAATGAGTTAAGAGTGAAGGATGTGATAGAAACGCTGCTACAGGGCTAGCATATGGTTTGTGCCTTGTCCTATATGCTCAGTAACTAAGTTTATTAATTTCTAACATCCTTGCAACACTTTTCTGCTTGGTTGATTGACCTAGTATGAAGGAACACATACTAAGCACGAGTCTCCAGGTTTTTAAAAATGTAACCTCTTTTTTGAATCTCTACAGTACCGAGAAGGAGTTTTGTGAACTTTTCAGAGTTGGAATTACTAATCCTATAGAACCAGATTTTATTGCCTTTACTCCGGTTAATTAATATTTGCTTGTAAAACTAACTCCTGTGGATATTAGCCCTTAATTCCAAAGTTTGTATTTGCATCAGGGAGGGGAAGCTAAGCCCTGATACCCCTTTCTTGATGTTGTCCTACGTGTGTCTCTGTTCTCTCCTGGTAAAGTATGATCACTTGAAATACATTGAAGATCAAGGAGATAAATTACAGAATTTGCACAGTAGACAAACTCAGTATCTTATAGATGTCATGCTGAATTTATCACAAATGATTTGGCTTTTATAGCTGGTTTTTATTTTTCTCATTAAGTATTTTGTTTAAATATTGCCTTTACTTTTTGATTTAAAGAGTAGTTGAAGCTATCTATCTGCCCTGTGAGTAGAATAGTCATAGCTCTTTTAGTCATGTATTTGGCAATACCTTTCGTTACTTGAGAAGCAAAAAATGTGTATTCAAAATCCTTGTTTTAGTATCAGGAGTAACAACCAGTTTCCTGGCCAGACTAATCTTAGTTTGAAAAGTTAATCGTATTTTTCCTGGGGTGCCATGTGGCAGTAGCAAATGTCTGAGCAGATGAGCGGTCACATTCTAGTCAGCGGGACTACTGCTCTAAGACAGGCATTTGCTTAAATGCATCGCTGAATCAGAATCAAATATAGAAAAGGTAGGAAGTTCAGTGGGCTGTAAAGTGCCTGTGTATTTAGAAAACATAACCCAAACTGCATGCCGAAACTTGCCCACATCATCATAGAAACTTGGCATACCGGCATCTTAACTCTGTCTATAAATAGGTGTATAATGGTGGATGCATCTAGGCTCCAATGGCCAACCTTTTGCTAACGGGGATAACTGTGGCAATCTGTTTATTGTCTATCCCAGGTCTAAAAGATTCCCAGCCGGTACGTCTGACCTTATAAACAGTGGGTTTGGTGGTAGAGTAATTATAGTAAGGAAATTGATGCTTGCCTGCACATGCCATTTGTTTAAAAAATCGTCCTGGATACAATTCAGAACAATTCTGAAATAAATTAACATTGCCCCACTTGAGGATAAATTGTTTGACATAACCTAGAAAAGAAAAGAATAAACTTTTCTAAGTTAAAAATGGTAAGTACATATTAGACACTTTTAATATCTTAAATTGAAAGATATATATTTGCTTATCTACAGAATATAATCTTCATTATTATAAACCACATACCTTAAACTGCCACTAACGCTTTCCCCATATGAATTGCAGTACATTGGCTGTACATTTCAAAATAAAAGCAGAGCTGTTTAGTTGCAGCATTAAATACAGTTAAATACACATAAATGTCATTTTGTGACATTTTCACCCTTTCCCTTTCCTTGTTTTCCCTCATTTTTTTTCTGTGTTTTCCATATCAAGGTTTTCAGACACTGGAAAACTGGTACATTGTTTGCTGTGAAATGGAGATGTGGCTCTGATCATCCTTGTTACCTTTTTCCCAATTCTACTCTGTCTTTTTGGGATGAGTGGACCCGGTATTGAAGATCCAGGTGAACTGTGTATTCACAAGGTTAAGGAGATCCTCTGTTTTGTTCTCTGTCCATTTGCTACTAATTCCCAAGTTTGCATTTGCTTTATGCACTGCTGCTGAGTGTGGACAGGAGGAGCCTCACCCACCAGTCTGCGGTAGCTCCAACAGCAGGCTGTAATCACTGTGATACAAACCAAATGCTTCCCAAATCTTTGACAGCGTGATTACGTTTGGCTTGTCTGTCTCGGTGCAGCCTTCTCCGGGCTGAACTCATACACAGCTGAGACGAAGTGTGCCGAGTTTTGTAACTGTTGGCTGCAGCTCACATCCTCTTGGGCAGGGGACAGGGGACGGGCTGTGACTATGGGCCACTGTGAGCTACTAACCGCCACGTGATAAATATCGCTACCAGGTCTCCACAGCTAATATAAATCTTCGATTGGCAAAAGGAACATTTCTGATTGTTGGGGTAGTTTTCATCCAGGGCTGTCCTCCAGAACAATTTACTAAGTGGCTGAAACAGCAGAGGAAGCGGTACAGAAAGGAGAACCAAGAGTGGCAGCCCAATGCCGAACCACAGCCTACGTCTTCTGTACTTGGCCTCTTCCGAGGGCTTTGTGCACAACCACTCTTCAGCCTTTTCAAAACGGAAGCTCACCACTATTAGGAAATGAGTGATACAAATAACACATTCTCATAGGAAGCACTAAAGCAAATACCTTTCTCTAGTCCCCATCCAGAAACCTTGCATCTGTCACCAGCCTTGAACATGTACTCTGACCAGGGGATACAGGCAGGTGTGCTCTCTAGGGAGCAGCCTGTTTTCCCAGAACCTCTCAGCTCCAGCAGAGCAATGTCATTTTCATAAGTTGACACATTATAATTTTCATGGATTATCAGTCGTTTTAGTTTGAAAGTTACTGTCTCGTTGTCGTACACGATTCTATTGACCATTCCAGCCCAGACACGGTACAGATGAACTCGATTTGCCCTGGGAAAAAAACAGTGAAATAAAATACGTTTTGGTACGCAACACAAGCCCTGTACATTTCAACCTGCTGTAAGCTTTTGCATTTTATCAAAGTTTCCCTAGAATAAAAGTTCGTATTGTCTACATACAGTTCCTTTCTGGACTTGATGTCCAGGTTTTTCTGAAGTGTGGCATATGCAAGGCAGATGACACTTACTGCTGAGTAATAGTAAACTAAAAAAAAATATTAGTAAACTAATAGAGAAGAAGTATTAAAGGCCAGCCTCTGTGTTCAGTGCTGTGACAAAGAGAAAGCAGGCATTTATGCCCCTCTGATTTCAAGTGAAAGAAGAGTGAGCAGATGTGGATGGATTGCTGGGACTGGCCCATCTTCCCTGTCTGCTCTTGCTTGTCCTGGGGGAATATATGACCAGAATAACAGACCCTGGACTTCCTCAAGGTAGAGATGGGGAAGACAGGAGGTCCCTTGTATCTCCCTTTAGGTGAAGTGGTTGTGGTGAACCTTTCCTGCCTGCTTGCTATCTGGCTGAAGAATGCTGTGTGTCTTCAAAGTCATCATTACTTTTTCATCTCTCTATTCACTGCAAAAAATACTCTGCTTTCTCTGAATCTTCCCCCATCATTAATTGGGTGAGTCAGTGTTTTAAATCATTTTGTTCAATAGGCAAACAGGGGTTATCAAACAGATAGCTAAGAAGGGCAATAATATCCAAATCAATCTTTCTGCCTCACAAGAAGAAATTAATTTCAGTTTGTTGTTTTTACCTGACACAGTGTGCAGCAGTCAGAACCCAACAGCCACCAATATAAACCCCTCCACAGATCAGTGTTTCACCTTCACTGTCAGTTTCTGTAATTGCCAGTTGCCAAGGGAATTCACCCTATTCAAACAAACACCCAAATAATGTGAAATCATAATAATTGTAGTATTTTTAGTGCACAAAGGGAAACACACTTCTTGGCATCACCTCATCTCCTTGACTATATCTGATTGTAAATAAAAAATCTGCTATCCAGAAATTGTGAATTGGGCTCCATCTGATATAAAGGATATATAAATTCTAAAATGCAGTAATTTTGTTCTATCTTCTGACTTTGTGTGATGCCTCCTTCCCTCCAGCTTTCTGCCATGAATCCCCTTGTAGCCAGAGAAACAGACATAGAGTCTGACCTGCTGTGATTGAGTATAGCACTTACCACTGTATTCTGTTTCAAAGGTGCAAATTTAAATTCCATTTTGTCAGAATTGTTATTTCTAGCTATAGTATTAAGTACTTTGCTGAATCATTTTCAATGTGTACTTGTACCGTAATGCTCAATTTTGCAATTCCATATTTTACTTTATAAATTGTGCTGCTCTTTACTTCCATTCAGTGCAACGCCACTACTGCTGCAAAACGTGAAATCAGTGTTGTAGCTGGTTTCGTTTAACAGGAGGACAATAATGCCCATTTAAATTGGTCCTGAATGAACTCACATCTGGTATGTTTTTTTTTTTTTACCTTTCTTGCAGTCTCTCCGCCTATGATTCTTTTCCGTCGAGTTAATGTGTGATTTGTAAGACCGCAGTGTACTTGGGGAAGAAGTGTCTTTATCATTTTTCTTTCTTTAACAAAAAGGAGAAATGTGTCTCAGAATTCAGGTATCGATTCTCTCTATTTGGAGACAGGTTTATCTTTATCTTTATCTTGAAAATTTGAGTGCTGTGAATATGCCAGTAGCTGAAGTAGCAGGAAAGCAAAGACCAACAATTTTGGCATCTGTTTTTGCTTTGAAAATTGCTTGTGCCTTAGCATCACATTACTTCTCTTCCGCTGCTGCTTGCATTCGGGCAAATAATTTTAAAGCGGTTCCCGTAGATTTGCTGGGAGTTTACCTCCACCACTTGCCAAAACATGCAGATGTGGGTCTGAAGCCAGGATGAATTATTACAGCATTCTTGAAATCAATGGGAAGCAAGACAAATAGTAAGCCCCAGAGGTATATTACTAAATCATAAAGTCCAAATATATAAGTGTTCTGGATCTGGCCAGCTGGCTGGTAGCAAGAAGGCCACTAATAAGAGGGTATGCTGCTGGGTTTGGAGGGGTAGTTACACTTACCTTCATCCATACTGAGATTTTCAGCACTTGTATCTTTTCCTGTAGTAGAATAACAAAATACTAAAACTATTGGCAAACGTATATTTGTTCTATTACTTGAATATATGTTTATGTGCCAAAATCATGGTACATATTTTAAATGCATAAGGGCCCACCATTTCACATGCTCAGCAATACTCTATCAGCCTGCTACCTGCTGTTTCCTTTCCTACTAGACACTCTTTGACTGCCTCAGCCTACAAAGGACCTACATCCAGCAGACACTCATTCGTAACTACATGACATCTATTCTGCTTTTCAGGCCTAGGGAGCCCTTCTGCAAAGAAACCCTGAGAAATAGCCTTTTTTGTTGTTTTTTGATTTCTAAAGCGATATCTCCTCCACCAGGAAACAACAGAAATTCGTCTTCCTGCCCCATCAACCTTTTGGAGCTTTCTAAAGCTCAAAGGACCACTAGGTAACAGAATAGTTTAATTTTTTTGCAATTTAGATGATGCTGTTGTGCACTGTGTGCCTCCTTTAACAGAGTAAGGGAGGATATTCAACATGAGAGGTAAATTAAATGCTTCCTGAATCTGTTTTGTCAGCTTTTGTTCAAACAAAATGCCCATTGAATTCAGTTCCTAAATGGAGGTTGAGGGCTGGGTCTGTTCTCGTGTTACTGACAGTAATGTTTACATTTAGAGTTCAGTTTACCTTTTCCAATTACCATTTACCAATAGTGTTTACTTTTTGGCTTTAGACTTTGTCTCTTATCAGAGCAAGGAAAAACATTCTCATTTCAAAACAAACCAAAATCTTTTCAACAGTGAGGGGAACAGCACACAAGAATTAATATATTGACAAACTAGTTGAATTCCTCATCTGTGAGGAAAATATTCCTGCCCGTCCTGTCTATGCTTTCTTCACAAATAGGGGATACCAGTTTGACAGATAGCCACGTAAGGAAAAGACATAATCTGCCTTAAGCCTCCTAAAACATCATCTGTTTCTTCCTTCCTTTAGTTTTCTTGATATTCTTTTCTAGAAAGAAGGGGAGGAAAAGTGGATAACCTTTTCCTCCTGCTATGCGTAACATAACATTGGGAAGACTAATTCTTGCATGCATTTTGGTTTTGCCAGTCTGTTAAATAACATAGTAATATGCATTGTGTAGTCTCTAGTTGTAACTGAGCAGAGTGAAAAGAAAGAAACAAAAACATCGTTCAGAAGGAAACCTGCACAGAGAACTTGAGCTTCATCCTCTCCTGTGAGGCAGTCAATTTCTTTGTTACAGACATTCTTATTTGGAATACAGATATTTGACCGACAGTGGAAACTGTTGTCTCTGCACTCTGTAACACAGGAGAATTACAAATGTCAGTCACAGGATCATATGATTCAGCGACCTCACATAGTTAGAGAGCTTTTTCAAATATAAACACAATATAATATCCATGTTATGGGGGACTTGGATGTTCATAAATACATCACAAAAGCAGACTCTGCAAATGTAAAACAGAATGAGACTTGGCTCTCCTCATTTTACAGTCTTAAAGTCTGAAGACTTACAAAATGTGGATCTCCCTTACGAGTTCAGTACTGTACTTCTAGACTTGGTATCACTCCTTACCAGTCTCATCCATAACACGTGCCCACACTCAACCTCAGCCAACGGACCTCCAGTTTTGCCAGCATTATTGATCATCTCAAATGCGGAATTTATGATGCTTGGGCCAAATTTCCCCCCAAAATCAGAGTCCAAGCTGGCTTTTTGTTGACTGAGCTAAATGCCTAAAGGCATTTATGTTAGGAATCAAGAGTTGTATTTTGAAGATACTGGATTTAATAACTTATTTCTTCGAAAAATCTTGATTATATGAAATGTTGTTATAAACCCGAGAACACCCTTCCTTTTAATCCTTGTGATCACTTTGTATGTTATGGAAAGTGAAGTGGTGCTTGAATTTATGGCAGGGTTTTCTGAGCTACTTTATAATCTTATGTCAATCTACTATTTAAGGATAAATCGTAGAAAATAAGATAGTTCTCTGTCTTTAATAGAAAATAAGACAGTTCTCTGAAAGTATCCAGATATCCCAATATGATCCAAAGACCACTGCACTCAGTTGAATACTTCTTTTGATCTTTTGATTCCAGGAAGCATTGTTTTCAGCCCGTACAGCTGAAACAGCACTATTTTGGTCAAGTAGAATGTAAATAAATGTCTTCTAAATATATGAAGACACAGGTGTTTGTTGTTGTTGTTGTTTTTTTTTTTTCTAAAATGCCTGTGATTGTATTTCCACAATTATCAGATTAGATTTGCTGACAATTGTAAAACTACAAAATTAAGGTTGTTTAGGAATAGCGATGAGATTTGTAACCCGCATTACCATTTGGCACCTGAAGCCCAACTTCTGAAAGCATTCTCCTGCATTCAGGTCATGCTAGATCCAGTTCTTGTTTCTAATCAAAACCGTTACAGCTGGAATTGCAGATGCTAAAAGAATGACTGATCATGAACAAGCAATGTGACAGGCACTTTTCACAGATAGTCTATTGATAATCCTGCATTAGTAATAAATTTAAGAGAGCTCTTACTTTGGTTTAAAGATAATTCATTGGAAAAACAGTGCCTTTGTTTAATTTCTATTGATTTTTTCCCAATTAAAAATACATTTTCATTTTACCACAGCTCATTTTTTTTTGTGTCAATGTTTAACAGCCTCCTAAGTAATCTCATCATATTCCCTCATCCTCCAGGGAAATGCAGATTCTCTGAGATCACTTGCCTGCTTCAAAAAATTATATGCCTACTAGTTTTTTGCACTTGCATATACATAGACTGTGGTTTGATTGCTTTAATGTAGTGACTTATTGGAAAAGAGACTTTAGCTGTTACATCACTGTAAAAATTCTTTGGGGGTGGTTTTCTGCTGAAATGATTGTGAAGCAGCTTAGAAAAGAAGTTATTACCTCTACAGCACAGTTCATCACTTAGGTCTCCACAGTCGTTGATTCCATCACAGGTTTTCTTCAGAGAAATGCACTTCTTGTTGACACACTGAAACTCGCCAGCTGAACACGCTGTGCAGAACGATGAAGATGAAGTTAGTGGGGAAAAGGCTATGGATTCACAACTGCTCACGGAAGTATTCTGCTTGTGCATTTGGTTCTGTTAGCAGTCTGGCCTATCAACAGTAGGCATTCTGCAGCCCAGTAATGTAGATACGACTCTTTTTTTATTGTTTTAATCACCTTCTCATCAAGCTTTCAACGTGACCACTTATTTTCCTCCTTCAACGTGCAGTAGCCTAGCAAAAGGGAACTTCATTTCTTCTAGACATGGACTAAACCAGAAATGATTGGTTCAAACCCACTGTAAATGATTCAAGTGACTAAGATGATGGTGTTTCCCCTCTGGAAGGAAGTCATCAAGAGTCTGTGAACTCCTACTTTGGTGGCGTAAGAAAAACTTGAGATGATTCACAGCTGTCCTAACCAGCAGCATCTCAGGCTGATGCTTATCACTGCCAAAGAAAGCCCACTACAGAGAACAGAAAGCTGTTAGAAATCAAAACAAGGACTTGATTCTCCTTATATCAGTGAGAAACTGAGGAGACCTGAAACTCCCCAGAAGACATGAGCAGTTCCGCTGTAGTCATGCTTGTCTGGCTACAGTGCTACGAGCGACCTAATTGATCTCCCTCATAGACAAAGCAGTGAGTAGGAGGTTGTCACCTGTCTCCTCACCAGTTAACCGAGGAGAGACAAGGCTTGTGGGGTACAATATAGCTTGGTACCCTTGGAAGGGATGGGTGAACAAACAGAACCATGGGTGACATAGATTTACTTTTGGGAAGTATCTGTGAAAATATTTTAGGAGCACAGAGATTTTCCCATCTTATAAACTCAAGACTGTCTTGAATCAAAATTGCCTCAATTGTCTTAAAGTCTGCAAAAGGATTATTTAAAAAATCAAAACTTTCAGTGCAGGTTTGCTGTGGCTGAGAGTTCAGCAAACTAGGTCCCAATTATTTAAAATAAACTTAAAATGTAAAAACCCCAAACAGATATAAAACTAAAAAGCCTACTAACCTCTGAGATTTTCATGGCACTGGAGGCTAACAAATCCCTCATTACTCTCTCTTGATTTCATCTCTATGCGACATTCAGCAAGACTTGTCTCTAGGCCCCTGCAAGTTATTTGCAGACAGTGCAATGAATTTAAGGCAGATTCTGTGGAATTGGCTTGGTAATTGGCTTCGTAATATTCAGCACCTCTGTGAAGATACAAATAATAATAATAACAGCAAATTGTATCATTTCACAACGGATTGTCCACTGCTTTTATTGTTTAGAATTTATATAGTTTTCCTCAGTATTAAAGAATTTTGATCAAAAGAAAAAGAGAAGACTTCCCATGGAACCATCTAGGGGTAAGTAGGAGATTTTTGCCTTGGAAGAAAAAGTAAAACAAAGTGCAGGTTGCTGCACAGAACTGTCCCTAAGTCCATACGTAGCTCTACGACAGTCACTGTGTATCACAATGGATAGAAAAGTCTCCTTACATAGCAAAACTTGTAAGCTCAGATCTCTGTGTGGACACAGGTGAGCCAAAATTTGGAAACCATCCTGCTTGGGGTCAAATATCCTTGATGTCATCAAAACCAATGCATATTGAGGAAGCTCAGGCTACTGCAAGGCTGGGGTTAATAAGTTTTTTCTCCGTTGGTTTTACCTGAGCGGTATCCTCCTAGCAGTGTGTGTATCCCCTACCTCAAAGAAATATGGACCGAGTAAATAAGTAACTAGAGAGGCTTACAATGGGACTCCAGGGCTGGATGCTCTGTCCCAGGACAAACCCTTTCTCCACTATCTAAAGAGATACTGATCAGGACTAGGAAATGTTTGCTTCTCTAAAAGGGGACGATTTAGGGCACTGCAATAGCATTTTTAGTCTTCAGGTAGGGCTGGGGGGGCAGCCCTACCTGACTTAAATTTGTTGTATGTGTGTAAAATGATGATGTACATGATCTAGAGTTGACTCTATGAGGAGCTGACTGTGCAACTCAGGTTATGAGTGTGGTTGCAGGGAAGAGGACAAGCTCTGCGTGGCTTCAGCCATCCCTGGGGCCAAAGCAAGCGGTGGCAGCGGGGCCAAGGGGTGAAGAAAAAAAATGTATTCTGGTTCTTGTTAGTCTGGCTGGTACAAGTGGCACAACAGAGCTGTACCCTGTTGTCAGCTATCGTAAGAAACTTCTCTGCATACAGGTTACTGCTCAGAGCTACTTGGGGATGGTCTGTCTGTGCACTTGCCCTTACACAGACCTGAGAGAAAACCTCTGCATTGGTCTCCAGCTTTATTTTAAAAGTAAAGCAATTATGGTTTGCATAGTTGTAGTCTGTAATAGAACACAGAAATCTATGTTTTGGCTTTCACTCTCAGGTGTCAATTTAAGAAGCTTTATCAGAATATTGTAGCCAATACATTGTTTGTGAATTTAACATCCTAACTGTTGGCTGACTGTGACTGACGTTTACGTAATCTTCACTGCTTTTTCAGATCCCTTGCAGTTATCCGGAGATAAATTCCCCAGACTTACAATTCAAAGCCAAGGTGCTTACAAGCCACATTTGCTTCATTCATGGTCCATCCACTATCACATACAAACATGTCATTCTTTTGATTCACAGGTTTTACTCGAAGCAAACTTGAATCTTCGTGGCCCACAGAGATTGAAAATGTTTCTAAAAAAAATAGAAATAAAAAAAAAAAATCCCCAAATAAAATCATATTATATAGAAGTATCTAGCAGAGACAGCACAGAAACAAATCAGGACTAATTTTGTATTGACAGCCAAAGTTCATATGGAAGGAATAGTAGACTGGGAATGAGAAGCTTCAGGTATTATTCCTGATTTTTCTGGGGATTGACTTGGTGGCTTTGAGCCTGCCACTTCTTCAAAATATACCAATTTCAGGACAAATGGGGGTAATGGTTCTTACCACGTAAGAGTACCTGGAGGTTTACTGAGGAAAGGTTGCATCTTAGTATAACAACTTCCGTTAGAGGACTTTTGATAACCAACCAGTAACCCTCCAAGTGAGATGGCCAGATCGTGCTTCTGTTACCTGTGTAACAACTTAAACTGTGTGCAAAGTTAAAAACTTCTGCTGTTTGCAGCAGAGCTACGGTCCTCAGCCGAACTTGGTGAAGCCGTACAGAGAGTGCACCAGGAACACATGGAGAAGGGTCTCCCATCCTTGTCAGTGGCATAGAGGCAGAATTTAATTTTGCCACCCTGAGGGCAGTGGGATGAGCTGCTGCTTCTGTGGGGAAAGGGAGGGATGGTACTGGGACAGAGACTGGGCAGGAGAGCCCTGGGCCCAGCTTGCTGCTCCTGCTGCGTTCGGTGGAGGTGTGGCTGGAGGATGGGTAGGAACAGCAACTGCTACTGCTAAAAGCAGCTGCCCGCTTCGTTAGCAGGAGCCGTTTCTTCCTGCACTCAGACTGAGGCTGAGCTGACAAAGCAGCTCGGTGCAGCCTAAAAAGCAGGCGAGAACAAACAGCTGCTTGTCAGCGCACAAACCATCACTGGTTTGCAGGGCAACAGCTTTCTGTTCCGATTAAATCCGCCGCGTGAAGGTGATTGAGGTGAACATGGCTTACTGTCTCCTCATGCACTCCCCCCCCCCCACCTCAGCAGCTTGACTCCATTCCTTGGACTCGTGCTCCTGTGAGGTCTGTCCCTCTCCAAAAGATATGCTCTCTGCTAATGTTCTCAGCAGGTCCTCTCCCGCTCTGCCTCCCACCACAGTCAACACCCTGGTTGGAAACCTTTGAGCTCTTTCCTGTGTCTATTTCTTTGCTTTCTACCTGACAATTTGAGCGACCTACCAGCAGCAGGGTGACCTGGGCCTGCCAATCACTTTAATGAAAATCAACAGATACTGCCCGTTTTCAATGACTTCCCATTTTCTGTTTCATGTTCTTACTATTGCAAAGAAAGGAACAGACTTTCTGAGCTGTTGATAGTAAGCATCTCCTTGGCCACAAATGAGAGACTGAGGCATTTTGGAAAAGGAGGTGTTAATACCTTCAGACATGCATTTTCCCTTGTGCAGAAACTTTGCTTCGGGACGTACACACTCGTAGGTCTTTAGGTGACAGTAAGTATGGAAGTACCTTCCATTGGTAGAACAAACTGAAGAGCCGTTCTTCGGGCACTGGTAGGGAAGCTTGCAAAGGCATTTTCCCTCCACACATCGTTCCCATGGGTGACAAAAAACTTTGTCACAGGACTTGTGTGTGTATTTGTTGCTTAAGCATTCTCCTATGAGGTATGTGTCTTGCTCAGCTGGCTGAACAGCCTTAACCTGCTGAAACTGGTTTTCTTCAGCATTAGATGCTGCACTCTGCAAGGCACAAAATAAATTAAAAAAAAAGGAGTAAGACTAGAAACCGCACCAAGAGTTCTGCAGATCCCTTTGCTGACCTCAACAAAGTGTTCATTCATAAGCCTTTTCCCATCTTATGAACACAAAGGTGCTAAATATAATTTATAGTGTTTATTCCCTTGTCTTTGGCCACCTCATCTTTCTCAGTTTTTCTGAACTTTTTTTTCTTCTTGGATCATTCACCTGCTGTGATCTTCACTCTTACTGCTCTCCCACAAACTTTATACTCTTCACTCTTCAAACATCAACTGACGTGCACAGTTAAGGAATTTTTAAGCCAATGGTTTATAACACACCACAGCAATAGGACTGTAAGCAAATTAAAACATAAGGGGACTTAGACACCAGAAAAATAAAAAAAAATAGCAACTTTTTTTAAAGACTTTTTTATTGGGTTGGTTGGCTTTAGGTTTAAATATCACCTGCCAATATTTATGAACTACTTAGATGCAAATAAAGAATTCTAAAATTAATTATTTGTTTCACCATATGACTGCTGAAGTAACAAGTATCTTAGAGTGCCCTTCCTTATCAGCTGTTTTCCTGTATCTTGCACAGCAGTGGATTTGAAATGAGGTGGCTGGTCATCACTGGACTGCAAGTACAGATTCTGACTGTCCGTCCGACTGCCTCTAAGTGAGTGACTCTGCAGCTGCATTTGTGCAGCTCTCCGCTGACTTCATTGCTGGCTGAGTGCTTTTGCTTACTGAGATCTGTGGGTAGGAGGAATGCTGGAACATGAAAAATACATGGATGGACTTTGCATAAAAATGGGAGAGAAAAGTTGGTCCTGAAATGTGATTTATCAGCTTTGACTGTGTCAACTGAATCAACAGAGCTGAAGTTTAAAGTTCTTATGAAGAAATCCTGGACATAGTAAAGTCAGTGGGGATGTTGTTGGGGCAGAATTTAATACAGCAAAACCCCTTTTAATGGTTGTATAATCTTACTAGATTCTTCCTGATGTTCTCAGGTCAGTTAGAATCCAAACCGTGAGCCAGATCCGCCTTGGCATCACTCCCATGTTGTACTAGTCCTTTCTCCTGAACAGGAACAAAAGGTGCTGATTTTTATCTAAGGGTTTCTCTAAAAGACTCGGCACATGCTGAACACTCAGCTCAGCCCAGATGGGCTTTCTGGGACACTTCTGCCAGAAGAGATTCCGCAGCAAACCTTCGGGCAGTACAACGTACCGTGTTGCCATGTTAGAAGGCTGTAATTGCATTTGTCAAAAAAGGGGGTAGGGAAAATTGCAGCACCTTTCCGTGGTCAACCATGCTTGCAAATTTGGTTTAGGATAGGATCATGATTAAAATCTTTTCCAGAAGCCTGTTAGCATAAACCTCAGATAGAATCAACACATGAAAGAGAAATAGCAAGCTTCAACCATCCAAGCTGGGCTAAAACAAATGTATGAAACATAAATACTATGAAAGAAAACTTTAAAAGCTCAACCGGTTTTGCTTTTATAACAATAAACTGCTTTTTAACTGATTTTTTTAAAAAAATAAATTACTGCTACAATAAAATAAATTCTTACCTCTGATCCAAAAATACAGAAGAGAGACAAGAAAACCAAAAAGACTGGGACCACTCGCATGATGAAATTTTATCTCTTTATAGACAAATTCCTCTGGCTGGGATTCTTTTGAATGTCAGTTGTTAGGTTTGTGTTTAATTTTTAACCATTAGTAAAATAATTTAAAGTGTGGTTAGAAAAAACAGGAGGCTCGACTTTTAACTCTCTCCGAAAGGATCCCGCCTCAGTTTAAGTGGTTTTACTGTAAGTGCAAGCCAAGATAATGAAAGTGAAGCCCTTTAAAAGGAAGCACTTGCTAAGGATACACATTTCCTTTCTTTTGCCAGAGGAGGCTGCCCGAATCACCACGCTGGTTCTGCTGGCGTGGGAATTCATCTTTGCCAGAGGACTGTAACAGATAAATGTGTTTTTATGCAAGAGACATATGTGTTTTCATATATATGGAGAAACACTCGTACTCATGTAATGGCCATTATACACTCAGCTGGATCACCAGCTCCTATTACATGATTTGTATAGAG